CTGAAAGGGATGAGAGAAAAAGAGAGGAAGAGGAAGAAAGGAAAAATACAGCTCATGGGGTGTGAAGAAGATGGAGAAGTAACCAAAAGGAGAGCATGTCAACATGCTCTCCTCAAGGAAAATAATCTGACCTGGTCTCCTGTGGTATTTGCTGAGGAGTATGTGTGGTTGTAATTGTAGCAATTTTTTCTGCATTGGTCAATAAAGTAGCATTGGAGGATTCTGTAAAATAAATTTTTCATTATGAGGGAAAACTGTGACTTGTTTACTGAAGAAAAAAAAAAACATGTTTTGAAAAGGCATTTCCCTGGAAAGTATCATTATGTTAGCTTAATAGCTTGACAGAGGCTCAAATTTCCTAAATCCAGCAATTAAAAGAATAAACTCTAAGCTAGGTCAGAGCTATTATGTATATATAATGGTAGAGCACCTTGACTGCACAGAAACACTGGCTTTTTGAGTTGCACATTGAAACTTATTGTGATATATTCCTCATGGCCCAGCTTTTCCTAGTAACTGTCATTAACTAAGGAGGAATCACCACTCCTGTGTAGCTCCCGCAATTCCCCAAAACACTGTTACCCTTGCACAGAAGTTTGCATTCAGAGGAAAAGCCACTGGCATATCCTTAACCATTCAAAATGCTGCACACTGCATTTCTCCCATGTGGACAGTGATGGGAAATATTCAGGAAGCCACGATCACTAGAACCACCCCATTCATTTAGCTCTGTTCAAGCCACCACAACGTTAGGTGCTCCTTGGGGAACCGTTATGCACATCGTAGCTCCCCAGTCTGAGCCTGTACCAACCCTACCTGGAAGGGGTCTACAAATAATTACAAAACACTGACTCTGCTCCACTTCTGAGGAACAAAATCTAACCTAAGTACACAGCTCGTTGGTTAAAAGAAAAAGAGGACAACAATAAACCCCATGCACCTAACTTCTTGACTGAATTTATCTAGTCCCAGCCAACATCACCAGCACCAGATATCAAAAACTGTGTGGAAGCTCCTGCTTCTCCTGCATAAAATTGCAAGGTTTGCTCTTGCTTGTCTCATGTGCTCCTGCCACCTGGCAATTCATTTTATTAACTATGGAGAAAGCTCCCACTATTAAGCAGAGCCCAGCTGTTATATAAATTTGCAGAAATCTTTTTTTTTTTTTTTTTTTGGTCAGACAATGAAAGGCTCTGGTCACAGCTTTATTTCACCTCAGTAACTTATTTTATTCTATGAATTTATATTATCTGTGGAGAAACCTTGATAAGATGAAAGCTTTTCCTTTGTGCAGCCAGTGGGTATCAAGGGAAACTCAGGAAAAGGGAAAAATATGGACCATTTAAACAGGAGCATTCAACAACAGCACAGCTCCTTCGCCTGCATTTGTGTGCCCAAGCTACCACGCTCCAAACCTCAGCGTATGGAGCTGCAATGTCTTCAGACCAGACACATATAAAAGCTTTCAAAGGATGTGCTGCCTGCAGACATCCCTGCGCGTGGTTGAGCCCTTGGATTTTAAGGCATAACTCTGGGAATTCTGTAAAGATTCGCTCATGCTGGAATGTGTCTCCAACATAAGGCGGCCCCAAAACATCATTAGGTGTGCGCCATTCATCCAGAACAACAACCTCTGAAATCTTCCACAAATATTTGGAGATGGGATGACGACGGGCTTCAAAGAGACTGCAACATTCCTAACCTTAGTAGGTCACACTGGGAATCCCAAGTAGAGCAGCAATACATCTTTGGTACAGACGTATCTCCACGACACTGCTGTGCCTATCTTTAGCCCACCCTCTCCCAAGAGCCAGGAGTTCTGCATATTTTTTGCTTACATTTTATACACAAGTTTAAGGCACAAGCCAGCCAAGATGCAGAATGAGAAAAGAACACAAGTACAGGAAAAACGCTTTGAGAATCACAGTTGCTGTGGGTCTATATCCTGAATATTTCATTTATTTGTTGCCCTGCTCTGCCCTAGAATACTTCAGACACCAGTTAAGTGCCTGATCTAATCTGACAATCTTTAGGCTCTCTGTATCATTACACGAGTTGGTAGCATGTGGAGTCATTGTAATTGCAAATACTCCTCTGCAGGGGCCTGGCAGAATGAGTTGCTATAAGACTATTACCTAGCAAAAGTCAGAATTTTTAATAACTTTAAAAGAGATTAACAGTGTAAGCTTATTGTTAGTCTCAGAACGAACCCTAGTTTCATCATCATTTGAGAAGTTTAGTGTACAGTATATTCTTATTTTTCTTCAAGTACTCTCTTCAGGGTTCTTAGATTTATCAAAAAAAAAATCTGAGACGCTAATTTCTTAAATCTCATGGTTTTAAAGCAGATTTCTCAGCAACACATGCAATTCCTTAAATTACAACTTTCCACCTGCCTACCCCTTCACTAGGAATGCCCAACATCAGTTGCAGCTACAGATATGTCTTCCAACCTAAGCAGCTCATTTGAGCTAATTAAGCATTCATATCAGGAGGCTACATCTCTCAAACATTCTTAAGCAATTCAGAAATTATTTATTTTATTTTTTATTCAAAGGTTCACCCCCTCCATTTTAATCAGATGCCAAATATATACGTATATATATATACATACAAAAATATAAATAATTCTCCCAGTTTGTCTTTCAAAATTGGTGCACAGAGGCCAGATCAGACATTTGCCTGATTTGCAGCCTATTCACTATTCATAAATACTCGATTTGCTGGAAGCAGCATTGGATCAGGTACCATTTGACCTGGAAGCTGTTAGACAGCAGGAAAATAAAACCCTCATGCAAAATAGATCATCATAAACAAAAATAACTTATAATCGGATCATTCCTAGCCTTGGACTATTTTTATCCTGTAACTAAACATAGCATAATCATGCTCTGTGGGTTCAGATTGCAGTAGTCAAAGCAAGTAAGAGATTAAGGAACTACAGAGCGTTTCTCACTGGGAATCGCATCACAACTTCTACATCCTGCTTTGGAGATATCAGGTTCAATTCATAAATTCCCTCTAGTTCTTGGGCAGGGTTAAGTGTAGTAGCACTGATTCATATATATGGAGTGACAGCAAAACTGGGCGTCAGAATGAAATTGTCTCCTTCCAAGGGCCTTCATTGTGGGGGAACATTTTTTTTAATGTCTTTCAAACTAGATCATTCTTTTTTTACTACGTTTAATCAAAATTTCCTGGACCGCAAATAATGCCCTGTACAAGTCTAAAAAAATTCACACTGCATCTGAGCCATCCAATCTTTTACTCCTGGATTCAGCCTGAAAAGGAGACAGCAATACAAGAGTTTCAAACTCCAAACAAGCTCCCACTACTGACCTGTCTACAGCAGACAAGGACAAAGAACAACAAAATATTTACAACTTTGAGCAACAGTGTTTTTAATTCTGCTACAGAAATATATATATTTTTTTCATATCCTGTGCTCTGTTCCTATTTGGCAACATAGCTAGGGATGATTTTGAGCAATCTGATAGATAATGCAGATCCTTATTTTTATTACCCAATTCAATGATCTGCAACTAGTCTCAACTGTCAGCATGATTTAGAGGATGGGAACATTCCTTCTGTTCAAAAATAACACAATCCTGTCTGGAGTAACTCTTAAAACTATCAGCTGCAAGTGAACAAGCAGTTTCAGAGCTATTGCATTTGACAAAGCCATTTCAAATTTCCAAATGTGCCAAGATCACTCCCAAAGCAACACAACCAGAATAAGAACAAATCTCCCTTTCCATAAGCTTAAAACACCACAGTAACTTCATGTCTTTCTATCATCTCTTTTACTCTGTTGCTTATGTACACATGGCTTTAGGGATCCGACCTATTACTAAGTGTGCAACAATTATCAAATAATCTAATGCTGCATAATTAACCTAAGAATCCAATCCAAAGGTACCAAGATTGAGATTTGCAGAAAGTCATTTTATGGAGACATTTGTAGGAATATGGATAGAAAGGAACCTTTATTATTATTATTAACAGTCAATGATCATCCCTCTGTTTAAGATGGGAATGCCCTACATAAAAATCAAATACAACTCTGGAAGGTTTATAACCCCATCCACTGCTAATTCCCAAAGAGGGCTGGGAAAGGAGTCCTCCAAGACCACAGCTCCGACCAAAGCAAAAAGAGGAGGAAGAAAGCAACAGTGCGCCCAAGTTAGGAGAGCAGGAAACATATACTTTACCATCTCCTGGAATGATGCGCAGGGTAACGGTGTTTCCTGCCTCTTTAATTAGGTTGACGATGTCTGAATGCGATTTGTTGGTGATGGAGCATCCATTCACGGCCAAGATCCGGTCTCCTACTTTCAGCTTGCCACAGCGGTCGGCGGGACTCCCTTCAATTATCCGACCTATTTTGTGAGGCATGGCCACACATGCATTTCCCGCTTTTGTATTGGTTTGGGGATTGTTTTTGTTTTGGTTTGGTTTTTAAATGTTTACATACGTGGGAATAGGGTGAAGGGGAAAAGGAGAAAAAGGGTTGAAAAGGGAAAGACAAGGTTAAGGGTTAATTAATTAATGCATCAAGCAAAAGTTGTTATAGGATAGCTTTGCTGCCAGTGTTCAAAACATTGGCAATCAACTAGTATGAGTGCACAATACTTGACTTCTTTTACAAAAAAAGTATTTTGTTAATCCATCAACTCCTCCCACATATTTGATTTCTGTTAATAAACACTGACATTTTTATAGCGTACAACTGCACTCGCAGCCCCATAATAACCTCAATCCTGATTTTATTTTTGAACCAAAAAAAGAAAAAAAGAAAAAAAAAAAAAGGGGGAATCTGCTGGTAAAAAACATAACCCTCCTCCCCCAAGATCACATATCAGCATCTCCAGTCTTCCTCTAAGTCAACTGCTGTTGGAGCTTCTGCCAATGTTTTGTTCTTTCTCAGTTTAGAAAGATACAGTCACTCTAGGCCCAGGAGGGAGCACGACTCCCTTTCTAGCATGGAGACCCATCTATCAGCGATGCACAGGGAAGCAGTAATGAAATAGTTTTTTTTTTTTTTTTTTTTTTTTCCATTGGGAATAAAGGAACTATCGGGTAGGGTACAGGGCCACAAGAGATGGGCCAAGACTGACAAAGCCAAGCAGCTTGGTGCAGTCCTCCACCTCGCAGCCCCGTTAGCCCGTCCCCTTTTTCAATCTTAGATGGCACAGGGATGGGAGCAGGAAAGGAGCAAGGACCACTTGATTGAAATACCTCTAAAACCACACGCAAAACAGTTGAGATGCCTAACAGACACAGTGAGAACACTTAAGGGTGAATGCGAGTCAAAACTCCTCCTCTGTCCCACGTGCTTGCTTGGTCCCAAAATCAGAGGGTTTTCATCAATACGCAGAACTGGGATGGAGGACACGCAGAACTGAAATCAGATAAATCTACTGGGTTTTCATAGGGCTTTCCTAGATGGGCAAGGGCCCTTTAGTGCACAGCACATGATGAGAAACATGAGATTTGCAGAGTGACCATCTCACACCTCCCATGCACAACACATTCACCCTTAAGGTGCACTTTTTCTGTGTGCTGTAATCTTTTATTTGACTAGTAGTTTTAGAGATATACATTGCTGCATGCATAACAATACCAAAAAGACTATAAAGAAGTAAAGGCTAAGGAAAGGAATATGAGGTGAAAGAGCAAAGTTAGAAAGACACAATGAAAACCAGCAGAATGTGTTAATATTAATCACAGATGGTGAGGGCTTTTTTTCCCCCTTTTACTCTGATGTTAGGAAGTTTCTCTTTCTGATAACACAATGACCTATCCAGTTCAGAGCTGTTTTGAGTGCATCTGAAATAAGTTTCTATTCTGTCCAATTTATTGGACACAGATGACTAAGTCCATACCAAGGTGACCAAGGTGGGTTTTAGAAGCAGCCTGGCCCATCTCTACATACTACCTATGAAAGAAAAGAAACTTCAAAGCAAGTGCAAAGCAAGCACCACAGAGCAGAGAGGAGGCATCTCATGCAGAGATTTATGGAAAAGTTGAACACACTCGAAGAAAAATTAAAGGAAAAACAGCTGCAGTTCAACTGATCTCAATAAGGAACCCAAAGAAACTTCAAAGCAAGTGCAAAGCAAGCACCACAGAGCAGAGAGGAGGCATCTCATGCAGAGATTTATGAAAAAGTTGAACACATTCGAAGAAAAATTAAAGGAAAAACAGTTGCAGTTCAACTGATCTCTGCAGTTCAACTGATTCTCTCAACTGCACAAATATCTTCCAGTTAGGTAGTATCTTGGGCAAACACAACTCTACAAACTCACGTCAAAGCTTCTTTGTGGAAACAGTTAAAGCATGTTCCTCATCAGGTAAAAATTATTTGTAGACACATTAATAAATGCTTTCAGAAAATTTAGGTTGAGTTCAGTTTAATCAATATTGCAGTAGGCTATTGCATGCCGGCACCAAAATACCTGCTCTGGAAAAACACTTTCAAGGAATGAGGACAGTGCAAGGTGGCCTAGCTGCAGAGGACAGTGTGAGGCACTGAAGCTACACTACACATTTCCTCCCTTAAAATCTGCTATAACTGCCCAGAACAGTGGTAGAGATGGCTCTTCTCTCATGAACAACCACCTTTTAGTTGTTAGTGCTTTTACTAATGTAAGGGCACTGGAAATGGGCAACAGCAGGAAATTTCAGAGGAAAGTCTAGACCAAAGCAGGAAAGGCCACTTTTTTTTTTTTTTTGCCACATGCATGCTCCAGGAACATGCAAGATGTACAGGGAGACCGCAATGTATTTTGTCTGCAAAACACCACTCTGCTCTGAAAGGTACCATGATAACGGCCAGGGCGCTTGCTCTGCCTTCCTTCTCCCCCTTTCCACATGCCACAGACCA